ACGTCCCCCCCCCCCCCCGAGGAGCTCCGAAAGGAGCGCCCTGCTCTAGTAGTTAAAAATAATTTCAAAGAGAATTACTCAAATATATAATTTGGTTACATTCCATCCTAACTGTAAAAAACGTAAATTAATATTACAAATTTTCTTTGTAAGATGGAAATAAATTGAAAAGTAATGAAAAGAGACATGAAGGATGTTTTACAATTTCATTTGCCCTTATTTAAAAATAACGTCCGGGCGAAGTTGAGTCCATCCCTGGGTGAGAGAAAAATGTTTCCTTCGTTCGATTCCCGGCAAAGATGTTTTTTGTTGTTCGGACAGTAAGCACCAGGGAAGAATGGCGCTAAGGCAAATTTCGTTTGTCCCTGGGAAAGGATCTGATCAACTAAGATCACAAACCCGAAAACTGTCCTGAGTTCCAGAAGATGAATTTGTAAGAAACTGTCGTATTTCCCCTTAGTAAATACTGCAGAATTTACTGGTCATATGTAAACTCGAAATTGAAGATTCACATGTTTCTTTACTCGTGAAGAAGAAACCTGGCGTAATTATACCTTAAGACAAATGAGAGTACAAAGAAATGTCAGAACTCTGAGAAAAGTGTCCAGAGTTCGATTGACAACGGCGCCAGGATCAGTGTTTTTTACTTGAAAGAGGAGATTACAGAAACAAATACCTCAACACTGATAAACTGTCCTTGATTCGAGTCCTGACAAGGATATTTTCTGTTGATAGGAGCGTAACAGCGATAAAAGAACGAAACCAAGGCAAAATACGTTCGTGTCGGAGAGGAAATTACAGGACATAAGGTCACAGACCCGAAAACTGTCCTCCGTTGAGTCTTTCTTAAGATGTTGCTTATTGATATATTTTCATGTTTGGGGCTGTTGCAAGTGAAAATCATATTTAGAACTGAATTTGTGTTAAATAATGACTGCTCTCACATCGCCCCATGTACTGTACAGTCCAATCATGGACATTGTACCTGATGCAATCTAAATTTCTCTGTTGAGAGTCCTGATTTTCTCTAGCAACCCGAATCACGTTGTTGAAGTGGATGGACGTTCACACGCGATGGCTAACGATAGACAAGGGCATTCAAGCTGCTGCTCTACAGGTTAGTGTGGGACAATTTAATGGAATCTTGAGGTCTTCGAGGGGGGCAGAATAGTCAATAAAGTACGTAGACATTGTCTCAGGAATACCGTCGAATGGAGTAATTGGATTTAAAATCCTTTGTTGTGTCCAATAGAATAGAATGGTTGTTTAAAATGGAATTCACAGGTCTCAAAGGGAATTGAAATTACCTATAGATTGTATGATTTGAGGTTTTCACAGCGGTGAATATGAAGATTTCTGTCTTCTGGATTGTTTCTCCGTGTAGTATGGTGGATGTTAACCAACGTGATGATGGAGACAGCAAGGACCTCTTCTAAGAATAAACGTGTTCTTGGCTTTGTAATACTTGGTAATAAATATATATGGCTAATGTACTGTGTGTGTGTGTAATGCAGTCGGTAATGCGAGCCTCGTCACATTTCGTGACAAGATTTCCTTGCCAACAGACACCTTGCTGTTAGCCTATCGTCAGTTGCTAACAGGTCCCGTTTCGTTTTTATTCCGTTGTGTTTATTATCTTAGCACCTGTTTTATTTTGAGACAATCCAAAAAAGATTAATTTATTAATAAATTTATGATTTATCATTAAAAACGACGTTTAACTGCAACAAATAATTAGACATTTACAAGATCTGTGGCCGTATTATAATGGAATTTTAAGATAAAACTGAATTTTCGGAAGAACGGAGAAAGAACTCTTTGTGCAACCATGATATCAGTGGATATCACAAAATTGTGTACTTTTATAACTGAATAATCAGCTGCCACTTCGCACTACATCTTGTGATAGGCTTTTCGTAAATATTGACAGAAAGGATAAGAGGGTATCTACCTCTGTGGCCATTTTGTTTGAATTCGCTCTCAACCGACAATACATTGGAGCACAAGACTTACTCCAGCACTTTCTTCTTATTATTATTCTTCCTCATCATCGATGGCTTTAATCTTCATTTAGTGCAGGTAAAAATCCGTTGTTGTGAGTCTAAATACACTACACCTGGTAATTTGAAATTATTTATTCATGAAACGTTCACCACACACAAAAAATTCTTTTTCAAAATAAAAATTAAAAATTGACTCAACAGACTCCAAGATGACCTCTCTTGTATTCGTTACCTTTGTCCAAAGAAAATGGTGATCGATTTGGGACCAATTTTAACACGTGGTTGTAACGAGTGGTGGAATATTGTTATTACGCTAAAATTAAGGTGAGTAATTAACTTCATGGACCAGAGTACTTCTTAAAACTTATATATTTGTTTGCGAAAGTATGATCCACGTGATGTTTCGTAAAACACCCATGAAATGTCAGTATATTCCCAAAGAGTACACCTTTCCAAACTTGTTGAGTTGCGGATTATCCTTAACATAAATCAACTAGAGATTTTTAAGAGATGATAATGTTGCGTCATATTGTGATGATTATAATTGTTTAATTTTAACCGTCTAATCACAATAAAATATTTTATTAAATATTAAAATATTTAAAATATATTAAAATATATTTCGATAGAAAGAGCAACATTTTAATATATTTTAATCTATTTTAAATATTAAATGTTAATTGTAATAATAATATTTTAATATTTAATAAAATATTTTATTGTGATTAGACGGTTAAAATTAAACAATTAGAGATTTTTAATACGTTACAACGTCAGAGACGCTAATCCCTTATTCTGAATTCTGTCTGCCACCGTTATTGTAATCTTCCTACGAGCCTCTTACATGTTAATGAGGCAAGTGGTGAGTTGGAGACGGCTAATTATCACAGAAATATTAGCGTGCAATGTGCATGTTGGATGATGATGGTAGAATGTTAGATCATCCGTGCTTTTATATTTGTGCTCACTATTCTGTCATTTAATCCTCACCTGTTGGGAGATGAGGGTGCAGATAAGTCTAAACTTTCACACCCCCTACGACACTAAACTGTTTTCGATTATTCCTTAACTCACCTCTCATAAAATAGATAACAAAACAGCAATAATTACTTCAGTTCTTCATAAAGATGCTCAGTGTTGAGACTGTGAGACACTGGGGGACTTCGTGAGATAACGATGCCATAGGCGCTCCGAGGTTGCATCTGCCGTGGAGATGAAGAAAGAGTTCTTCTCCATCGCTTGTCCATAAGAGATTCCACACGTTTTGGAACTGGGTGTGATTCAGACGTCGGAGACCAGGATGGAGAGTTGAAATACTGCAGACACGAATGTCGGTTCTTTCCAGACAAGTGGACGCCGTCCGATGGACGCGGCACGTAGGAAACGGCTCGACTACAGGAATGCTGACTCTGAGAAGGTTCTCGAAACGTCGTGATTTCTCTGTCATACCCGGACGTTTTCCCCACGCACATCAGAACTGTGTCTTCGTGATTTTCTGGAGTACAGGAAGAATGTTTCAGGCCGGCTGTTTCTTTGTCGCAAGGGATTGTATTTGGTGCCGAATTCATCTGTGCACATTCACTGTGGGAGTTTGTGATATCTCGCAATTTCTCTTCATTCATTTGAACGTACAGACAGCTCTCCTCATTCCCTTCTTGAGTAAGCATCTCGAATGCCTCCAACACAGCCACGTGATGCTGCTGAATAGCGAATTTAAGTTTATTCTTCTGAGATGTCTTCATATTTTGTCTCGAGAGCCTGTGTTCACAATTGGGTGTGTAGTTCTGGTAAATTTGACAAACGTCGCATTGTCTTACATGTTGGTCGTTATTTTCATGTGGTACTGAATCGTATTCATCGGACACAGACGTCCTTTCTTTCAAGATCCTCATTAAGAAACACATTACCATCACTGCTACCAATATTACCAATGTAATTGACATGGTTACAGTTATGATAATTACATCGGTTTCAGAAAGATTTTCGGATGAGTTCTGCAGAATTTTATCATCAGTGGAATCATTAAAATCTTTTTTGGCGATGTTCAAACCACTGATATCCTGTGGGATGATAGTTGCTTCGTTTTCATTATCATAAAATAATTCTCCACCAGCGGAAACTTCCATTGTAATGGCTTCCGTCGCGGATATATCAGCTGTCTTGTTTAAGCAATCGTGCGTATAGTTCGTATGTTCAGAACATTGTCGTAAGACATTAAGTAATAAGTTTCTATCCCAGCATCTGCAAAATAAAGGCTTTATGTTCTTCAGAACATTCATTCGTTCAAGAACAGTACTATTGAGGTTTTCAATCTTATTGTCATGTACATATAAACTCATTTCTTGAAGAGTTTCTGTTGACAGAACTAGTAAAAAGTCTACCGATGTCAGTAAGTTTCCTGTAAGATTTAGAAATTGAAGTGAATATAAGTTATCAAAAAGATGGTCGTCGATGTGTGTAAGTTTGTTGTTAGACATATCTATCCTACTGAGTTTCACTGTTCTCTGGAATGTTGCATTCGGTATTATGCCAAGATTACAATTTGCAATATTTAATGAAAAAAGGTTGACGAGATGACGAAATGGTCCTTCATCTCCCAGATTAATATTATTTCCATGAAGATCCAGTTCTTCAAGATTCTTGATGGATATAAATGCGTCTGGGTGAATATATGTGAGTTTGTTATTGCCCATGAAGAGGCTCTTCAAATTCTTCAAGCTTACGAAAGCTTCGCGTTCTATATTGCGTATTTTGTTGTTATAAATATATAAGGAAGTCAGTTGATTCGTTCCTTTGTTGGAGAATGATGTGTTTGTCAGATCAGAGATGGAGTTGTAGGATAGATCCAGTGTAATGACAGTGTTGGGAACCTCAGGTGTCTCAGTTAATGAGGAGTTCTTGCACAACATCTTAAAGTTGGATGGACATGCGCAAATGGAAGGACATCTTATATATAGGTGTGATGCTGAGTACATCAAGAAGGGCTGGACCAAAAATGCGGCAAGAAACGACAGTAGATTTCTGGAGTCCATGGTACTGCAAAGTAAGAGAATTTCCAGTAAATTGCAAGACCTAGTTAAATATGTTACAATATATTATCATTAACTAAATAATATTAGGATTTTGATCAAATGTGATATGCAGGAGACGAGAAAACGTTTCTAAATGAATTTAATTTTGGTCTGTATCTGTGATATGTAATAGCTATTTTACGTAAAATTCAAATGAAATGCAAAGTAGATTTTCTCAAAATCTGCTGCTGAAGAAATATTACCGGTTACATCTCTGGTTTTAAGCATTTTTCGATGTTGTATGTTTAACGAAGTACCTTTCATCAACACACACGCCGATCTGCATTAGCAATGCTTGTAATTTGAGCTTATTACTACCAAATCATTTGCAGATTAATGTTGAGAAAGCGACAAGAGATTAAGATGTTAATTTTATTATGCTATTCCCAATTTAGGAAAAATTTACCGACTCCTGTTATGCGACTGAAATGTTCAATGTGCCATGGCAGATACATGGACTGATGTACTGCTAATTTGATTGATGATAGCATGGTATATTTTCTCTCGTGTATGCCAAAATCGTCCAGCACAAGATGGAGAATATTAAATTAAAGAATAAATTTTATTTTTATTCTCAGTAAAATACAAGTAACTGCTGAGGATATACTTGAAAAATATCAGTAGGCTACTACAAACTGAAGTGACTGAGAAAATACCAAAAAATTCTCGGTCACCACATCCAGTTTCCAGGCCAAGATTCAAAGCTTCTACCTCCTGAATAAAAAAACAGAAATGACAAAGTGTACTTACATGTTCAGGTCATGATTCTGGCCGCAACGAATATTATCATTTCCAGACGTCCTGTTCTCCTAAGATTTTCACATGAGACAACCATACACAACGCCCGCAACATTGTACAGCCAAACACAAACTGCAGTTATCAGTTACTTTCACAAGAAGCCGGCAACAACTCCATATTTACTCTTAGAATTCTAGGAAAGAAATGTAGAAAAAATCTTGCTTTCCTGTCTGTTATCTACAATTCACAAACAGAGTGTAAACATCGTCTTCTTCGCCTCTGAATCCTTTCACATTGTGGTGATTTCTCGGTGCTCGAGTTGTGAACATCAAGAGGAAATCAATTAGTGAGCAGGCAACAGAGAGATAGCGGAGCCATAGCGAGAGATATGCCAGTAATAATAGTCAATAAGTAAAGTAAAGTTTGTCCCACTATACGCCATGTAGGCGCTTGGGGTGAGAGGAGGTATAGCTCCTCTCTTCCTTGACCTCGGCACTAGATGGGAGGTGAGTGGTCAGCATCACGCCCCGGCCGGCTTTACCCCCAGGAAAGGACCCCCGGTACCCATTGTAGAGGAGGCTGGGTGGGCCCCAGAGCCGGTCTGGACGCAGAGGCTAGAGGAAAAATCCTCTGCCCCAGTCGGGGATCGAACCCCAGTCGTCCAGTCCGTAGCTAGTCACTATACTGACTGAGCTATCCCGGCTCAGAACTGTGATGTAGCTAATTTAATTTCACACCATATAACTATTTGTCTTGGGTGGATCTCGTTTACTTGGTAGAGAAGTTCAACATATGACAACATGACTTCATGCTCACCACAGGTCCCTATTACGAACTATACATGAATCCCGTCTACATGTCTACTATAATCACCATCTCGTGTGCTCTCGTAGGTCTAATAAGCGATGTTGTCTCTTCGAGTTTTGTGACTAATTTTGTAGTGGTACGAATTTGCTATCTCTCCGATGCGATGTCCAAACTATCTCATTCTCGTTACGTTAATCACTATAATATATTTTACCAAGGACATAAATTATCGTTATTTTCTTCACACTCATAATTTTCGTCCTTCGGAAACAATTATTCCCTCAGAACCTAGATCTCAAAACACTAAGAAACACCAAGTTTAACACCCATATAAAGCAATCAATATTACTATAGTTTGTGTGCTTTTAACTGCGTTTTTTTTTTAAAAAAACGACTAAAATTGCTGAAATTCCAATGTTTCATGTCTAAATTGTAAATAAAAATCATTTTGATAAGCAACAGGCAATATTACAACTAAATAATTCCATTTAAAGAATTTGACAATAATTCACTGTGCTGTAGCGTGGCATGTCCCGTCTGCGACGCCACAATCTTGTTGACATCTCTTCGCCTGCACGCCTCAGAACACCCAATCGTACGGAGGCTGAATTAGGCTCTTTTTAGGGCCCTGAATGACCTTGAAGGGCTCGACAGCATCCCGTCGTAGCAAGGTGCATGCCGGACGCACCGTGAAAAAGTACAGAATCTCGACGAAACTTAGCAGACTGCTCCCTAGGGTCAGTCCCACGATCCCACCAAACGACGCTGCCGGGACAGAGTGAGGACTCGTTAATAACTTAGTCCATTAAGGAGAGTTCCTGTGTATCCAGGTTTAAATTTTCTTGTACGAGTAAAGAACTGGCGGTCTCTTACTAAAATAACACTATATGACGAAGAAATGGTTTCTGTAACTCGTACAGATGTTTTGTTTACCACAAAGCACATAAATTGAAAACATATAAGGGAAACTATCCATTTGCCCGCATGTTTAATCTCCGAAACTACTGATGAGATTTCTATTAAATTTGGTGTTAACAATCTACATTAAAAGTTGTAGGGCGGTTTTTAATTGCGGTCTGTAATGTTTTAATATAATATAAACTTCACATGAATCTCAAATTTATTTTTTACAAACGGGTACTTAGTCAATTGAATAAAAATTTTCTTGGATATTATCCATCGTGTAGTAAATATAAAACGTAAAACGACTTAGTGCATAACAGAAATTAACAAAACGTTCGTACAAAGTCTTCATATCTTTAAATACAAGATGTGATCTCTAGAACATATCATTAGTCACTGAGATTACCTTGTAACAAATCGTATAAAAAAAATGAAATTAACAGATATATTTTCTCTAGAACTACTTTTATTTAATCAGTTTTCGAAATATTATCTGAAATCACGAAAATTAAGGCCAGTGAAGTAGACTTTTCCATCCTTACACTTTATTACGGAGTCGTTACTTTGTCTAATTAAACAATAATCAAATAACGTGGATAAATGTTTTTATCGAATAGTACCATAACCAACTACAAAATGTGCAAGTTGCTTTCAACATTCGGAAACAATCGCATACTCTAATTTCATTGATGTCTGTCTCCGTATCTGACGTTTTAAATCTATTTTTCAACGCCTACGCGTTCGTCAACTTCTCTGACACACGTGTAATGAAAGAAGTCTAACATCCGAATAATGTTTGGAGCACGGAGGGAGTGCGATTTGTTGAAAGAATTTAAAGTGCTTCGAACTCACCGAGTAAGTCGTTCCAGCTGTAGATGACGTCACGGCGAAACCTCAGTACTGACAGGTCCTTGAAGTAAACATGAAGGATTGAGTGGTTCGTGATGAGGACCTCCTTACTACAGGAAACAAAGGACTTCTTTTATGAAGATTTCTGTCTTCATATTTTATCTTGTTTAAAGGTCAAAAATGGCCACTATTTTGTCGTAAAAATACAACATCTGTGACACAGTTTAATACTAAATGTGTCTGTCCGTCCCGTAACTCTGTCTTATGATCCAACAGTTATGTGCCTGTTCATAATATATTGTTACAAGGAACTCCATATTTCTGTCTTTATATTTATAGTGTCCTTAAATGGTGTACGGCGATAACTCAATGGAAAAATTGGAGAATTACACATGTTGAAGGCCTATGTCTTGCTTAAAATATATTTTATTTAATAGAATAAAATATTTTAGCAACTCATTATGTACGAGATTATCTTAAAAACAAGTTCGTGCCTCAGCAACATTTTAAAGTTGTAGTAGGGAGTACTCGGTTCGGATCTTGACAGAGATAAAATGTATCCTGAGGGTTACCATGGTTTTCCTCAGTCTTTATAGTAACCGAGGGTTAAAAGAAACGACGGATAACGAGGGATTACTGAATTTGTTCAAAATATGAGTGCAGGAAGACTCACAAGAAATTGGTCTGATCGTATTCGCTCTTGAAGAAAGTTGACTCCGAGATCTCTGTTGAATATGTGACGTCAGTACACGTGGGGTGACAGTTGCACTCCATCGCGTTGTCATTGTCGTCTAGACCAGGAACAAAGTTGGGGGACCGCAAATTGTTGAACACACCTGCAAGATGGCAGACACACTTGGTCGAAACCTCTGAGGCAAATCCCTTTGTCTTCGTATTTGATTTCCATGGCTGTTCACAATAATATTTTAAGATCGATGTAAGAAAATTCCTATTTATTTTGAAACTCGACATTCAGATGGTTAAGTAGAGGCCTTCTTGAGTCACTAGGCCAAGAGACTCCCCCCCTCCACCGCATTTAATGGAACCGGAAGGATTGTTATCGTGTTCACAAAAGCCTTCAGCTGGACCATATCCTCAGGCAGATTAATCTACTCCATACGTTCGCATTAAATTTATTGAAAATACATTTCAATATAATCCTCCGACCTAAAATTAGATATTCCAAGTGGCTAAATATTGTCATGAGTAGAGCTACTGTATATTAAAATTATAACTTAATTAGTAAATTATAGAAAGCCAATACGTTATATAAAAGAATATCACTCATCCTGATAAGAACTTAGTTTGCGTCTTTTAATTAGAGATACGTTTCTCATGCGTGTGGGCTACGTACGTCTGTGGTCGGCGAGGCATCCCACGTCAGTGAGTCCGCAAAGCCTGGTATTGTTACCTGAAAGAAACGAGTCCTTCCTTTAGAAAAAAAAAATGCGAACAAATATGAGAATCTCAAGAACATCGATCAACGATTATGAGCCTGAACTGTGGCTTGGTACCAAGGTCGACAATGCTGTCAATGACCAACACTGTCTAGCTATGTGAGATTTTAGGTTCTCACGGCGGTGAGTACGAAGATGGTTGTCTTCTGGTTTGTAGAGGCGTGTAGTCTGGTAGAAATTTACCGACGTTTCAGAGGCCCTCGCAATCTCCATCAGGGTGATGAGTGATAATGGAGGCAGGAAGGACCTCTGAAACGTCGGTAAACTTCCACAATATTGCACGGTGATGCAACCCAGAAGACATCAGTCCCATTAGGAATGGCGCCCACCTGTCGGGTAGAAATAGGGCGCACACTGACAGAGTCTGTCCATGTGCTCGACGCGACATTGCACTAAGCAGTTGCTGTACGAGTAGCCTCCGTGGATGGGTCTGGTGCTATCACTGCTGTTCCCCAGGGACTGCTCGTCCTCGAACAGGCATTGCCGTTGCTGTCTGCTCAGGTCGCGCACCTCCTTCGTGCTGTACGTTGAGGCAGCAGACACCTGTCGACACCCTAAAGCACTAAGTCTTCAAGGACCCAATATAATAGGTGTCTCCCACTTCTTGCCCCAAACATTTATACTTCCAGTCGTAGTGTTTTCTTACGGTCTTAACTGAGGATAATATTTTAAAATTAATTATTTGGTTTTTCCGTCAAACCACAATGTATTTAAAATCAGATAATTAAAATATCATTCTGTGTTCCATATCGAATAATCGATTTAATCGATTTACAATTGTAAATCGATTATTCGATATGGAACACAGAATGATATTTTAATTATTTTAATTATCTTATTTTAAATACATTGTGATTTGACGGAAAAACCAAATAATTTAATTTTAAATTAATAAGTCACAATATGACGCAACTACACTATCTTATAATATTTTGACCTAAAAGGGAGTGGCAGGAGACAAGAGAAAATTTCAGAGGAGTATACTGTAACAATCACAGAGGATCAGACAGAGATGGCATGTAGCACGCATAGGAGCTGAGAGAGAGACAATTGTAGCAGGAAAACCTGAAGGGAAGAATCCATATGCTAAACCGAGGCCAATGCAAAAATAATATTAAAGTGGATTTTAAATGGGGAAGGAGAATATGAACTGGATTCATCAGACTTACGTTACAAACCAATGACATATCTTGTTAACACGTTATTCTGGTTATATTAAATGCGGGGAATTTCTTGACTAACTGAGTGAGTATCACCTTCTAGAGAAGGGCTCTGTTCAATGGACTTAGTTATAAAAGTAAGAAATCCAAATACATCGTGACCCACACACACCTGCAGGAAGGCCTCCTTGCGTGGAGACAGGAGAATTCCTCTGGCGGATATCTCGGGATAGTCCTGGTTCGCGTGTACCAGAACTTGTATGCCGTAGAAGGAGAACAGGGCAGCGTAATAATCCTCGAGCCTGGGGTCTATCAGCATGCTCAGGCCCGTCAAATACCCTGCCCCGTTCACACGAAGCGGAACGTCGTTCCTGTGGGCATATTCAAAAAGCAGTCCTGGAGCCTCTGGTCTATCAGTCACGGGCGAACGCATGAAAAACGTCGACCCTTTTCATTGGAAGATTGTGCGTCGAGACGCTCGGCGTCGATTTTACACTTTAGTGTTGTGTGTCGTTAGATTAGATTTGATTTCTTTAAATTGGATCAGGCGGGTCCACTCGTCGTCGCATTGCGTAAATACAACATAAAATGTAAGGTAGATTTAATTTCAGGTTTTTTTTGCATTCAGTGTTGTAAATTAGACACACGAACGGAACTTGAACGCGTAATTTCTTATTTCCAGGGTTCCGAGATTATTTTATTACCAAAACGATTCCGCGGCAGTAAAAATAACCAAGATCCATTGCAATAACTGATTAAAAGTCATGAAAAATTATCCGCTCCAATAACTGATTAAAAGTCATGAAAAATTCGGTATATATAAAACCTTAATCACACTTACAAATTCTGTCAAGAAATATATTTGCTGCTAAGTTCGAGGTAATGTATATGAAAAATTCCAGTTATCGTAATGGATATCTGTACTTTCAGCTGTAGAAATTACACGTATAAAGTGATCACTCTACGCAGTGGTACATCTGCACACAATCGGAAGACCGTAACGCAAAGTTTGGTGTCACGTTGACAGCACTCTTACTTGCCCGTCGATGCTCCCGGTGGGTTATAATTGAAGGAGCAGCAGAATCCAGCGTCCGTCTTGTGCATGGTGAAGAGGCTACCACAGTCCGTCACCTCACCGCGCCATTTGCATTTGATAAGCAAGCTGGAGCAAGGCTGGGTCAGCTGGGAAAAGAACAGAACACCTCTCAGCACCAACGTATACCTGTCACCACGCTGCATGCTTCAAGACCACGTTAAAGTCGTAGAACGTTGTTCCTCGAACAACAGAACACAGGCGAGTGAAGACAGCTCCGAACTTGGAACGTAGCTTTTGACTTAGAGCCGCGTGGTATGGACAGTGCACAATGTGACTTTGGTTGTCGGAACATCGTATATTTTTTCCAGCCCAGACGGATGCAAGAATATTCTAAAAGTTTGTGGCAATGTTTATGGATATTTTTCAACAGTAAACTTGATTTAAGCCACGGTGGTCTAGCGGTTAGAACGCTGGCCTTGTAATCTTGGGGTCTCGAGTTCGATTCCCGGCGGTGCCCGAATTTATAACTTGTGTTGGGCAAGGCCGTGGTCTAGGCAACACGGAGTTTTCCTCCGTGGCATCCCAACAATTACTCCATTCACACACAGAAGAAGGCAATGGCAAACCACTTCTGGATCATCTGCCAAGAACGTATATGAACAGGTCCCAGTCCGAGAAAAGGATGGAAGGAACCTGTTCATATGGACCTGTCGTCAGACAGAACACTAAATAAAATAATAATAAAAATAATAAACTTGATTTGCGTGATGTTTCTTTTTGCTTAAACACGAAATAATTTTTTAATAATATTGTAAAGGCATTTAAACATATGAAGGTGACAAATATTCTTATTAATTACCACTGAGAATATTTTGTTTGACACCGAAATTATTCAGACGTCAATTTAATGGTCTTTATATTAAGAAGGATGGAGGTTTATGTGGGCTAGTTTGAGGGACTGGATGAAGTACGGCAGAGGATTCTTCTAATTCGTGGCGAAAAACTGTAATTTCTCAGCTTGACATAGTTGAAATCCTCTTCGAAGGAGCGTTTGAACGTGCCCCGGCAGCGGCAGATACGCGCGCTGGCCTTACCTGCCTCATGAGAGACTCCACGTCGAAGCTGCGGTTCTTTAACACCGCGTGAATGTGCACCATGTCCATTTGGAACATGTCCACGCCCTCCGGCTGGATGATCTCGGCCATCTGCGATACGAAGGCCCAGTACTCCTTCTCGTCCAGAATTTCGGAGAACCTGTCACGTGGAAGCAAGAGTGTAAAAGTTTGCTCCAAATGCGTTCTTTGGTGATTCTTTCTCATCACTGACGACTAAATGCTCGTGAGTTGCGGCAAAGTTGATATCCCTTGATACTACACTGTCTCGTGATTAATTAATTATTCACAAAAGCAAAAATGCCAGCGTCTTATGATTGCATATATTCTCATCTCCTCATGCGTGCTACATGCCTCGCCCATCTGATCCTCAAAGTTTCGTATCGTAATGAGACACATACCATATATCATACCAAAGCTTTCGTGACATGCGCAGTTCCTTCTTTGGCCGAAAGAGGGATAAACAATGAAATTCGATTTGACCATCGATGAAAGCCAGATGAAATTGTTCTAAATTTCCTCTGCATTTCTCCAGCTTCTTCGGAAGCAAAGTTATGTCCCGAACGGTACACAGATCGCACGAATAAGAAGAATAACAATACAGAATAAAAGAGACCTGTAGGTAAATGCAGACGGTCCTTCTGGGTTATGAAGACGACTGTCTTCTGATTATGCCTCCTAGAAATTAACAGACGTTAGTGCCTCTGAAACATCGATCATTTTCTACCAGACTAAGCAACGCAAAATCCCAAAACTCACTCGTCTCTGTACAGCGCCTCGGCGGCTGACAGATGCACCTTGTTCACCTGACAGATAGTCACAGCGGGGAACGGAATGTTCCAGATGGGGTAGTGGGTACTCTCGATGCTGGTGATGGTTGGCGAGGTGCTGTACTGCGTCCACACTTTGTTGATGAGGACGACGGCGCCCACCAATCCCATGGCGCACATCAATGTCCACAGCGTCCTGAAGACAAGCGTGTCTGCACTCAGCATCTAACACAAGAGCTTCATTTCGCGACGCGTTTCATCTTTGGCGAATGTTCAGTTTCTTATATCATAAAGCGTTCTCTTAAGAGTACGAGGTGCGATCAGAAAGTTTCTAGACTGCGCGTATAAAAA